AAACCGCACCAAAAACGCAACATGGGTTTGCATTTTTTAATGCATTTTTCAAGCGTTTTCCATTGATTTCAATGGGGATGGTGTGTTTTGGTGCGTTTTTTTTTTACTGCACCAAAAAAATACCGCAAACAATGCCACAATGGATCAGTAAAAAGAGTTCCATAGGAAATACATGGTCATGTGTTTTTTTCTGCTTTATTTAACACAAAAAGCAGAAGAAAAACAGATCAGTATGAAAACAGCCTTATAAAATGTATATGAGGCTCCCTTTCTTCTGTCTTCAAAAACTCATGAATTTATGGAGGTGCCAGTGACCACTGTGACCCTGCATTCAGAGAGTGGAGGAGTGATGGTGATGTGGGACTGAAGTGAGACTACTTTACAGTGAACGCAAACAGTTATGCCCATTACCACCCTCAACAGTGTTCTTTTTCCTGCTCTCCCTAAAAGACACCTCACTATAATTTACCATTATCCTCTAAAATTAATTGTTATCCGTACCCAGGAATTAAATGCAGGAAAACTCCCTCCTTCTGAGTCACTTTTTGTCTCTGCCCCCTACCCACCTCCGAGCACAGTCACATGGTTCCACCCCCTACCTCCCTGTACCTCTCCATTTAGAGAATACAGAGCCAAGTATCATTTTGTGGTGCTAAATAATTTGTATGGAATTTGTTAATGATAACAGGAAAAGCAGAAGAATAGATCCCAGCTGCCAGCACCAATAGACCCTCCCCCAGCAAACAATAGATTTTCTCCAGCAACAATGGACCCCCAAAACAAAATACCTCCCCAGTAACAATAGACCCCCGTCAGCTACAACAGATCTCCCAGCAGCCAGCATCAATAAAATCTCCAGCAGCCAGCATCAATAGACAATAGACCCCTCCGTCAACATTAGATCCTTTCCAGCAACAATTGACACCCATCAACAATAGATCCCCCACCAGCAACAATAGACCATCACTCAAAAATAGATCCCCTTCAGTGACAATAGATCCCCATGCAGCCAGCAACAATAGACCCTCCAACACTCCCCAATACCCCTTGCCATTATATACAGTTGTGACCAAAATTATTCAACCCCCACTGAAATTGAGTGTTTTGGCCAGTTTGACATTGCTTTTGATCATTCAGTCATCTTGCTTACATTTACATTAAAGAGGCACTTGTAGGTCAGACAAATATAACATAACAGTTATAATGAAATAACCACAAATGTCTTTTCTGTGCTCACAGCATTATCAGTTTTATTCAACCCCCAAGTGACATTCAATCTTAGTACTTAGTACAGCATCCTTTTACAGTTATAACAGCTTTAAACGTGAAGCATAGCTTGACACAAGTGTCTTGCAGCGATCTACGGGTATCTTCGCCCATTCTTCATGGGCAAAGGCCTCCAGTTCAGTCACATTCTTAGGCTTGCGCACTGCAACTGCTTTCTTTAAGTCCCACCAGAGGTTCTCAATCGGATTTAAGTCTGGTGACTGCGATGGCCACTCCAAAATGTTCCAGCCTTTCCTCTGCAACCATGCTCTAGTGGACTTGGAGGTATGCTTGGGATCATTGTCCTGTTGAAAGGTCCAACGTCTCCCAAGCCTCAGGTGTGTGACGGACTGCATCACGTTTCCATCCAATATCTCCTGGTACTGAAGAGAATTCATGGTACCTTGCACACGCTGAAGCTTCCCTGTACCTGCAGAAGCAAAACAGCCCCAAAGCATGATTGACCCTCCACCATGCTTCACAGTAGCAAGGTGTTCTTTTCATCATAGGCCTTGTTCTTCCTCCTCCAAACATAGCGTTGATCCATGGGCCCAAACAGTTCTAATTTTGTTTCATCAGTCCACAGAACACTATCCCAAACTTTTGTGGTTTGTCCACATGGCTTTTGGCATACTGCAGTCGACTCTTCTTATTCTTTGGAGACAGCAAGGGGGTACGCCTGGGAGTTCTGGCACGGAGGCCTTCATTACGCAGTGTGCGTCTTATTGTCTGGGCTGAAACTTCTGTACCCACATCTGACAAATCTTTTCTCAGTTCCTCAGCAGTCACACGGGGACTTCTCTCCACTCTACGCTTCAGGTAGCGCACAGCAGTCGAAGTCAGCATCTTCTTTCTGCCACGACCAGGTAGCGTTTCAACAGTGCCCTTTGCCTTGAATTTGCGAATGATGCTTCCTAAGGTGTCTCTTGGTATGTTTAACATCTTTGCAATCTTCTTATAGCCATTGCCCTTCCTGTGAAGAGAAATCACCTCTTCTCTTGTCTTCCTGGACCATTCTCTTGCCTTCACCATGTTTGTAACCACACCAGTAAATGTCTAGAAGGAGCTGAGTATCACAGTCATTTTAAAGCTGCCTAATTGGTGCTTATTATGCTTGATTGCTGCTCGGTGACATCCACAGGTGTTTTCAATACCTGATGGAAAGCACCTGTATGAACCTCTGTTCTTCAGAGTGGTAGTCTTTAAGGGGTTGAATAATTGTGGCAATGAAGAAACCACATAAGAACCATTTACTACTGTATTACATAAACAATTGATGTCATTTTAGTTGCATTTGGGTAGTTACAACGTCCTTGTAGGATTTGATTCTGAATACAATTCCAAATGTACACTATAGTCCCTAAACCCCTTTACAGCATTGGGGGTTGAATAATTTTGGTCACAACTGTATGCCATTCAATGCTGTAGGTGCCGGAACTGCATTTTCCCCCGTGTTCCTTCTGAAAAAAAGCCCTGTCCTTACCTAAAGTAACACTCCGGTCACATCGGGTGCAACTTGCATGCGATTTGCATGCCATGCAACTTGCAAATCGTATGACAAGTTGCACCCTATTGTCCGCAATTAGAGCGGTGAAATCGGTGTGGTTCCGACTTTGTCGCAGCAGCACCAATTTCTAAAGTAGTACATACACTACTTTTGGTGCGAATTTGCATAGACATCTGCGTCAGATGTCTTGTAAATCGCACCTGAAATCAACATCTCACCCAACTTTGAAATCATACGACTTCACTGTACGTCACAAAGTCGGGCTTGATGTGACCGGGGGGGGGGGGGGGGGGTAAGAGACTTTTTAAGCAATGATAACCCATGAAAATAGCCAGGATCTGTGCAATGATGCCTTTTATTGACATAAAAAAAATAATTTTTTGACTGGGAAAAATATAAGTAAATAATGAAAGGTAATTAACAAAAATGTTTGTGCAATATGTTTATGAATGCAACCCAATATTTGTTACAAATGCTTACAACTGTTCTCAGTAGGCTGCCACACGATGCCATGTAACTGCCGCATTACACAAGAAGACAATTGTATGGACATGCACAGTCATCTTGCTTGTGACAGGTGCCTTTCAGAATGTAAGAAATAGGTCTGTTTTTATATCCACTTTTAGCACAATAGAATACATTACTGGCAGTGGCTGTAAACATAAAAAACCTATTCTTGTGTGGGTTTTTTTTTACTAAATAATATATTAAACTTGCAACCACTATACCCTTTTTCATTGCATAGCTACAACATGCTATTGACTATGACCCATTTATTTATACAGATGGACAATGCATAAGGCAGTGTCCTGGTTTCATGTTTCCCAAAATATTTCTTTCTAGGTATTAGACTGCTGAAACCACCTGTCCAATGCAATAAATAGCAAGCAGTTTAACATTCAGGTCTCCTCCAAATATATAAAAATATATCCATTAAAACATATATACTGTATTAGTCATCTTTCATATTCATATATAAAAAATGTGTCAACACTGCTGATTTAAACTTAAAATGCAATTATGTATTACATTTTATCAGAAAGGAAAACTAATACTAATACTACTAATAAAACTAAAACCTTTAAAAATAAACATTTGTGCCTCACCAAGTTTCAGATGTTGCTGGCTTTCAGCAGTGCAGTCTTATGCAGGTCATAGACGGGTCGAACATCGGACGATTTTTCGCCGAAAAAATCGGGCAATTTTCGCACTGTTAGTGGGTTAATTGGTTGGCCGTTTTTTTCGGGGTTTTGGCAAATTTTTTTTATCGGTAAAGTTGGAAAAAAATCGGCCGATTTTGCTGATTGCCCAATTTTCCCGGCAATGATGGGCAAATCGGCCAATCGTTTTACCAATAAAAAATCTGCGCATGAGCCATGACCTGCAAGAAGAAGAGGAAGAAAAGGAAGAAGAAGAAGAAGAGGAAGGAGATGAGGAAGAAGAAGAAGAGGAAGACATGAAAAAGTATTGCGGTTGCAACAATGTATCTATTTGTATCCGAATAAAAGCATCTGTATCCGAAATGGATACAAATAGATACAATGTTGCAACCGCAATACTTTTTCATGTCAAATATAATAGCAGAGCTCTCTGCAGGGACAGAAGTAATTAAATGCCAGCCGCAGACGGGACGAAAATCAGCCGATTGTTTTTACCGTTGGTGGTAACATTGGCCTATTGAACGGACCGATTTTTCATTTTTCTTTTAAAAACGGCCGGTTTTCGACCCGTCTATGGCCTGCATTATTAACCACTTGCCCTCCTGAAGATTTCCCCCTTTCCTGACCAGGCCATTTTTTGAGATACAGCGTTGTGTTACTTTAACTGAAAATTGCTCAGTCATGCAACGCTGCAGCTAAATGAAATTTACATCCTTTTTTTCTCCCATAAATAGAGCTTTCTTTTAGTGGTATTTGATTGCCTCTACGATTTAAATTTTTTGCGCTATAAACAAAAAAAACCCAACAATTTTGAAAAAAAAAACAACTATATTTTTGACTTTTTGCGATTAAACATGTCCAGTAAAAACTTTAAAAAATCTAATCTCATCATAAATTTAGGCCAAAATGTATTGTGTGACATTTCTTTGCTAAAAAAAAATCCCAATACATGTAAATTAATTGGTTTACGTGAAAGTTATAGTGTTTATATGTGGTATAGATACTGGAATTTTTTTAAATTTTATTTTTTTACTAGTAATGGCGGTGATCAGCGACTTATACCAGGGTTGCAGGACTGTGGTGGACATTCTGACAATGGGGGGAACTGTATTGGTGTCACTGACATCGCCAGTGACACCAATACAGTGATCAGTGCTAATAAAAAGCACTGACACTGTACTAACGGCACTGGGCATAAAAGGCTTAACATCTGGGGCAATCAAAGGGTTAACTGTGTGCTGTTTTACTGTGTGCTGTGTGTGTTTTACACTGTGATCACACTGTTTTGTATGGCTCTGCTATGCCCCTTACCCGGAACTGCAAAATCACCTACTGTATATATACGTGATTTTGCGCTGCCATGCTGCCCTGCAGCAGCAGAGGGGTGAGAAAATGTCTATGGTGATGCAGCCAGCAACCAACACTCTTACTTGGAAATTCTGAAAAGGTTATGGGAATCTGAGAAAAAGACTAGAACTCTCGCCTGACAAGTGGACTCTACACCTTGACAATGCTTCTGCAACATGATGCATTAGGTGTTTGAGAGTTCCTGGCCTAGAAATCTATTCCAATACTTGACCAACCACCATATGCCTTTGACCTAGGAACTTTTGGTTCTTTCCAAAATGTAAAAATGCTTTAAAAGGACACAGATTTGATGACATTCTAGACATCCAGCACACCACGACAAAGATAATGCACAGTATTGTGGAACACAAATTCCAGGGTTATTTCCGGCAGTGGCACAGTCATCTAGAAAGGGGACTACGTTGAAGGAGACAACAGCTGCTAGTATATAAGTAAGCAAACTTACAGTTTTTTTTACAGTCCATTTCGGGAATTAAATTGTCTCACTTCATAAGTATGTTTCAAGTGAGAATGACTCATTGAAATTGTTTATATAAAACATTTGTACTATGTGACCTTATAAAAATGGGTTGGTTCTATACCATACTATTGTGTAGTAGGCATTTTTTTAATAGTTGTTTTTATAGAATCTTTTGTAAGTATAAAGACATTGTGGCAAATATTGCCCTTTATTTTCATTGATTGTATTATTATTGAGAATGGGTAGCCTTAAAGTGTTACTAAACCTACAACAGTAAAATCAGTCTGTATATGCAGTAAATCATGCTTGTTATACGCACTGTGGAACCTAAGGGGTTAATCCTCCGCATTGTGCAAAAAGGCTGTTTGATCCTGTCTTTTCTGATCCTCCCCTTCTACATTCCCCAATCCATCTGCTGATAGTACAGAGTTCTAGGAGTCACTCTGCACATGTTCAGTTTGGTGTGTATTGCTAGAGAGTTTTTTTTTGTCTTCGGAGAGTGCATGTGATCAGCACAGGGCCAATCAGCACTGTCCAGACAGAGGATCAGGGGTTATGCTGCCTCATAGGACAGCCAGAGCAGAATGGAAACTCATCCTACACACCTTAACCTGTGCTTAGCTGGACACTAATAGTAGTCACAAGACTGCTTTATACTGCTGATAGGAAAAGGAATTTAGCAGTTTATATTTACTAAAATAATTGCATTTCCATGTTCTGTGTACTGTGGGAGATCAGATATAGTGGATGCAGGGTCCTGGGTTTAGTAACACTTTAAATATGGTCTTTTCCCTTTTTTTAATTTTTTAATTGCAATTTTAAACTTGGGGTGATTAGAGTGCATCAGGAACTCCATAAATTAATGTTTAGGCATACAACAATTAGGCCTATTAGAATTCTCTTGCCGATGCCAACTTTACACTGTTGTATTATCTTGGGTCATGGGTTTAGTTACACTTTTTCCCTATCTTGGAATATGTACTTTTTATGTTACTAGGGATGTTTGTACCAGTTGTAATATAAAAAGCATCTAGGGAAGGCAAATCTTTTTGACACTTTTATTTTATGATTTGAAACACCACTGAAAAAGCAGGGCAAAAAATCTACTTTGTCTGCTTGCAGTACTGCAGTAAGCATACATAATTAAAGAGGAGTTCCAGTCAGTTTTGTGTTTATTAAAAGTCAGCAGCTACAAAAAATAAATGCACGCTCACTTGTCCCAGGGATGTGCTTACCTGTGCCGTCCCTTCTCTCCTTCTTCTCTCCCCGGCGCTAGGCATCTCAACTGTAGGCACCAGGCTGTACCAGCTTGCAGCTTTATAGCTGGGTGCCCACTGCGCATGTGCGAGTCATGCTGCGGATCCTGATTGGTCCAGCAGTCTTCTGGGACCTGTGAAGTGTCCCAGAAGACTGTGGAAGGAAGGAGGGGGGCCAAACTTCCAGCTTACTTTGCCGCAGCGAACTGAGCCAGAAGTGGGAGCGGGTACCTGTCAAAACCAGGTATACGCTCCCCACCCCCCAAAAAAAAAAGTGGAGTGGAGGGGGTGAGGAGACAGACAAGCAGAGCTTCCACTTTTGGGTGGAACTCCGCTTTAAAGTATAACTAATAGCAAAACTAAAGGAAAGGTATTGGTACACCTGTCAATTTTTATTGCGATCTGTGCCTCATCAGAGAGATTCACCCTCGCTGTTTGTCATGTTTATTATTATCACTGAGAGTGAAAGTAAAAGAAAATCCCAAAGTTTGGGCTGTCCCCAAAACAGGAATAGTGAGAAAATCTTCCAATGGGGACACTACCTTTTGTGAAAAGCAAGGATTCCCACAATTTGTAGGGATTTCCTCTCACGTCCTGTCTTGGCTATGGGACAGGAAGTATATGGAAATCTCTCCAATGGGACTTATGGCCAAAAATAGACTGAGGGGTTATAAGTCTCCCTTACTCTATCCAAAATGAAAATAAAGTTTTACCTTCTGTTCCAATTTAAATTTAGGTATACAGCACATTCTTCCACCAACAGAAACACACAATTTGTGCAAGGGTATTAAATATGCAGACCCAGTTGGATTGCATTGGCAGGCAAGGCAGTAATCTGGAACCATTTCATGTATGCAGTTACGCATTATTAACAGTCAGTAACTTGGTAGATGGCTGTGTGCTGCCCCTGACAGTCCTGGCTTTCCATCATTTGTAAGCACATACTTACAGACCCAAGGTGCTGGGTAAATGGGTCAGTCTGGAATACAGGGACTGGCTCCCCTATGCCATATCCTCCATCCAAGAGCCCTCTGCTATATTTGTGCATACCCCATTTTGGAAAGGCACACACATTGATCTACCTGTTCAACAAAATGTCAAGAAATGTTTTTGATCTACCCAACTCCTATAAATGAAAACTAACATGCAATGCTACATTCCAAATTGCTGCATTTATAGAGAACCTGACAGAACAGAATAAAGCAGAAGATAGGACTGTTCTGATAGCTTGTTAAAAACATTATGTACTCCAGCTAACCTGTTATAGTAATTATGTGGCAAAATGTATAATTGAATGTACCAAAAAAACACAAAGAACAAAACAACCAGCTCTTCAGGCTTGACAATGAAAGACTACAAAGTTTTAAGCCTTAGAACCCTCCTATATAATTTGATACAATTACTAATTAAGGAAACCCTTTAATGATCCTACCAAGACTAGCAATTTTTCCTTCTACCAGAACTGATTTTTTTTTCTTTCACAAATAAAAGCACAGAAGAACAATCTAGATTCTCAAATGTACAGTATACATCTAAAAGCTTTAACTCTATAGTGCCCGGTGCATAAAGCAATCTAAAAATTTCATGAAACTAATTATATTATTTTAGACCATAAACACCCACTGTAGCATGATTGAACTTTTGAATGGTGTTTGGAAACTCATTATAAATTGAAACTCGAAAAACTCGAAAAATTAGAATATCGTGCAAAAGTTCATTTATTCTTATTATTATAGCCAAATTTACCACCCTAACTCATCCCACAGTTTTACACTACATAGACAGTAATATACCGAAATGTACGGATTGTTCCCGATTGGTGTGCTATTACTTTGTGGAACGTTTCGCCGGATGGTTCACGAAATATCGCCGTTTTTGTGGTGAAATTGGTCCCATAGGAATGAATGGCAGAATGTTCAAAACTAGAGTGGGAGCTGACAAAACCTTTTCACAGTTACTCCAGCCACTCCAACCACACAACAGTTACTCAAGCCACTCCACCCAGTTACTCCGCCCACTCTAGTTGTAGACTACTGGTGGAGGCAAGAACACTTCACACAATTTCCTCAGAAATTGTAGCTTTTCTAGTTTCAGTAATGCAACCTAAAAGGTGAAACTAATATATGAGATAGACACATTGCATGCAAAGCAAGATAGTTCAAGCTGTGATTTGTCATATTTGTGATGATTATGGCTTACAGTTCATGAAAACCCCAAATCCACAATCTCAGAAAATTAGAATATTACATGCAATCAATAAAACAAGGATTGTACATAGAACAATATCGGACCTCTGAAAAGTATAAGCATGCATATGTACTCAGTACTTGGTTTGGGCCCCTTTTGCAGCAATTACTGCCTCAATGCAGCGTGGCATGGAAGCTATCAGCCTGTGGCACTGCTGAGGTGTTATGGTAGACCAGGATGCTTCAATAGCGGCCTTCAGCTCTTCTGCATTGTTCGGTCACATGTCTCTCATCTTTCTCTTGGCAATGCCCCATAGATTCTCTATGGGGTTCAGGTCAGGCGAGTTTGCTGGCCAATCAAGCACAGTAATCCCACGGTCATTGAAATAGGTTTTGGTGCTTTTGGCAGTGTGGGCAGGTGCCAAGTCCTGCTGGAAAATGAAGCCAGCATCCCCATAAAGCTCGTCTGCGGAAGGAAGCATGAAGTGCTCCAAAATCTCCTGGTAGACGGCTGCGTTGACCCTGGACTTAATGAAGCACAGTGGACCAACACCAGCAGATGACATGGCTCCCCAAATCAACACAGACTGTGGAAACTTCACACTGGACTTCAAGCATCTTGCAGTGTGTGCCTCTCCATTCTTCCTCCATACTCTGGGTCCTTGGTTTCCAAATGAGATGCAAACGTTGCTCTCATCAGAAAAGAGGATTTTGGATCACTGAGCAACAGACCAGGTCTGTTTTTCTTTCTCAGGTAAGACGCTTCTGACGTTGTTTGTTGTTCAGGAGCTGCTTGACAAGAGAAGTACAACATTTGAAACCCATGTCCAGGATCCGTCTGTGTGTGGTGGCTCTTGATGCACTGACTCCAGCCTCAGTCCACTCCTTGTGAAAGTCCCCAACACTTTTGAATGGCCTTTTCCTGACAATCCTCTCCAGGCAGCGGTCTTCCCTGCTGCTTGTGCACCTTTTTCTTCCACACTTTTCCCTTCCACATAAATTTCTATTAATGTGCTTTGATACAGCACTTTGGGAACATCCAACTTCTTTTGCAATTACCTTTTGAGGCTTTCCCTCCTTATGGAGGGTGTCAATGATGATTTTCTGCATAACTGTCAGGTCAGCAGT